CTTTCGACATTTTATTGTTTTTGTATTCAAATTCTTAAAATCTCCCTTATACCTAGTATTTTACAGTTGAAAAATCAAAGTTTAAACAATATTGACCAATTTTCCTCAAGAATACAACTTAGACCAACCCTAACACTATATTACTTTTATTGCAAATTCTTTAATAACATCTAGGTGACAAGATTTCGTTTATCAATATATGTGAAATTTTAGCTAGAATTACTATATTTGGATTAGGCATAACATGTTTTATAAGGAAATGATGTAATAGAGTATCAAAAGATATTCTTTGATGCCTGAAAACTGTTTTGACACAAATTATGTAAGTATATTATCTACATATTTCACTCAAGCGAAATGTGTAATAAAGGTAAAGGATCCTCTCGGATATATTTTCACTTAAGTAAAGAAATTCTCTTTCAAGAAAAAATGGAATCCAAAGACAAAAGACTTGTATTTGAAAGCAATGAGGGGGAGATTGATGGAAATGTTCCTGCATTCCCAAGAGATGATTTTGATGATGATTCAAGTCAACTACATTCAAGTCAACACCATTCAAGATGAATTTAAGGACAAACTGAATTTATGACGTAGGTGATAAAGATGATGATTCAAGCAAACCCAAGATGATTCCTGAAGACTAAATAGAGTCTTAGAATACTGGATATGGAGGTACAAGTTGATGAAGTAATATTATGCATAAGCCTCCAAAAAGTGTGATAAAATTCATAACATGATATTTTTCACTGTCATAATTAATTATGATGCACCAGAAATGGAAAAATGATTTTCTCTATCATAATTAATTATACTTGTAATATAATCAATTATGGCAATTCAAATTTGAAAAATATATCCGTTTTAAAGAATAAATGTTTTTGAATACATCCTGATTTTCTCTATGATATTATTAATGTCCAACGGCCATTTTCTGATGCTATTTTTCTATTTAATTAAGTTTTGATGAAAAATCAAAAACACACAATTACAGAATTCGAAAATACAATTTACATTCAATCAGTTTTGAGAAAAGAATTTTGAACAAGGCAACAAAGATACTTTACACCTTTTGAGAAAACTCTCTTCTCTACTGTCTTCTGTGCTTTCATTGTTAATCACACTTGTTCTTGGAGATTGACATTTTACAAGCTTCTACAATTTGTTATCTCCATTACCCAGGTGTGTCTGTTCTTATTTTTATTACCTTCATCCTTTTTGCATTGGTGGAAAAGGAGGTGTTTTTCATCCCTAGTGTGATTCTAGGGAGGGGTTCATCCTTAGTGGGATTCTAAGGAGGTGATTTTCATCCTTTGATTTGTTCAGAGGAGGTGTTCATCCCTAGTGGGATTCTAGGGAGGTGTTCATCCTTAGTGGGTTTCTAAGGAGGTGATTGTCTTTTTAATTAGTTTACTTTTTACTGGTTCTTCTGCTGAGTTGATTATAATTTGTAAACTGAATTTGAAAGATAGTGAATGGGGAGTCACTCTTGTGTTAAGAGTTGACTGGGAACTGGATGTAGGGTTAGCTATACCCGAACCAGTATAAATTTCTGTGTGCTCTTCTCTTTCTCTTATCTTTTTCTCTTTTCCTGATTATATTATTGCTTCCGCTTTAACAAATTATTGGCTCACAAATAAATTTTTAATTTGACATCTATTTTAATTTGTTCATCTATTCACCCCCCCTCTAGATGTCATTTGTCTAACAGTATTGGTCTCATTCACCCAAGTGAAAAACTCCCAGTAAAATGAGGTTTGTTTCTAGCAAGCAAGCAAAAATTTTCTCATAAAAGAATGTAGTTTTTTGAAGGATTTTTGCTGAAGTGAAATTTCCCATAAGTTTGATGTGATTTTCTTTTTTGAACTTCAAAAATTTATAAAAAAAATAACTTCAAACGTCAAATTAAATGTTTTGTATATACAAATTGAATACTTGGAAATAAGAAATTCAATCAAACAATAATTAGATAAATAAGATGTCTACATAGAAAGGTATCGTCAAAAGAGTATACGAGAGGTCAAATAATATATATATATATATATATATATATATATATATATATATATATATATTATTGTAATATAAGAAATGGTACGTGTAAGACTTATGATGTTATAATATATGTTATACACATGGAATGAAGATGTGTTGAATATTATTATGTATATTGAAAAATATTATGCTGTGATATGAGAATTACCAAGGGGCATCCTTATGTATGTGGTGTATTAGGGATGATAATTAAACACATACCCGCAGAGTCCGATCCATCCTCACCCCGAGTTTGACAAGAAAAAATCGAGTTGACTAAGGGTAGATTCGAGTTTTCTCCGCTTTAAAAAGTCGGGCGCGGGATGGATAATGCAATCTTCACCCCGACTCCGTCTCCACCCCAACTTTATATTAAAATTTAAATTTTAAAATATTAATATTTTAAAAGTATTTCTTTTTCTTTTTCATTACATATAAGATAATTTTTTTATATTTTACCATTATTACTTTTCTTATATCCACTTTTTAATTCTTTTATATTTTTTAATCTTTTATATCAATTAGTTCATCATATTATTCTCTTTCTCTTACCTTTCACTTTTTCACATTTTCTTAATCTCTCCAATTAACTTATTTTTTTCAATCTTTTCAACCAATTTGATGAACACAAAGTTAATTTTTTTATTCTTTATCTTTTTTCTAAATATTTTACATAAATATTAGTAGTAACTGATATTATTTTATTTATAATTTATCTTTATTAGTTTTATTAGGTCATATTTTTTTTATCTTATTATTCTTATTTGTTATATCAAAATTTATTTTAATAAAATAATTATATTTTAAAAGAATAAAAATAATTTTTTATTACTTGAACTAATTAAATAGGAACTAACTTATTAAATATTTTCTTCAAAAATATATATTTCATATTTTTAAATGAAATCTTATAAAGTAATTAACTTATATACATAATCAAATGTTTTAATATAGTATTATAATAATAATAATAATAATAATGTTAGAAGTATTCAAATACAGTATTATAATAATAATAATATTATTATTATTACAAGTATTCTACATCTGTATAAAGAAAAATAATTAAATATTTATTTTACATATATATTTTAATATAAATATAATAAATTAAAATATATATTTAATTAATAATTATTATAAATTATAAAAATTTATTTATGTAATAAAAAACATTAAATTAGTAAAATTAATTTATTACAAATACAATTATTTTTTTAAAAATAATGTTGATTGGGACGGGACGTGGGCGAGAAAATTTGAAACCCAACGAGGACAGAAATGAGGACTTAATTTCTAATCCTGGTGGAGATCGGAGCGGGAATGATTAATTTGGAATTCAAAGAGATATCTTAACTTTATTGATCACTAAAATTACATAGATTAAAAGATAAAGTGGGAAGAATTGAATAAGGTTTCTAATTACTAAGTATGTGGTGTGAAAAACAATTTTATCATGATAAGTCATTTAGAAATTTACCCTAATCATATGTACTACCATGTCGAGTTACCCTTATGTTAAGTTTTTGTGTGACAAATGTAAATCTTTAATGTCTAATTCAATATTTAGTCTTTTAAAAGTATAGATTATGTGATGTGATAATAGACTTTTGTGGGTATGATGTGATGTATTTATATTTATATAATATAATAATTGATTTAAATAGGTGTAAGATGATGTCTCAGTTTTATACATAAAATTATTATTTTAAAACAAATTTCAATTTAATATGATTAAATTACTAACTTATCCTGCTTTTAAATTATGATGATTATATGTTTATAGACATTAGGCCTCAAAGATAATTTTACTATAACTTTCTTTTATATTTTATATAATTATATAAAATATACATTTTTATAACTATTTTAAATATATTTTTAATTAGAAAAAATTATCTTTTAAAAACTTAGAATTATTTATTTAATAAAATTCATAACCTTTCGACTAAATAATAACTAAGTACTCTTTTAACTCAAAAGTAACTATTAAAAAAACAATTTAAATCATTATTTTATAATTATTTATTAAAAAAGACATTATTTTAATAAATTAGAAATACAAACCAACATATACCACAATTAACAATAGCAATTACATGATCGATTTTACATGTTTCTATAACATGCACTTTTATGTTTACGAACTCGGTGAATATGACAACTAAGCTACCTTGTCATTCATTTATAAAATCCATTGTAAATGTAAATTGCAACACGTCATGAATTCTTCTCCAAAGTTGAGCTTTTATAAATAAAAGGGGAAAGCAAAAATACTCTTGAATTAAAAAAAGAAGTTATTAATATTATGTTTATGCAAAATAAAATAATTGAAATTATAAAAGTTTTCCAAACATCAATTATCCCTCTCAACTTTATCTTCCAAAGTGAATTTCACAATTTAGTGGAGCCAAATTCACAAGTGGAACTAAAAAGCTGGGACTGCCAGAACTCTATAATTTGAAGGAAAAGATAGTTTACAAGCACATTTCAGAAACCAATAGAAGTGTCTCTGAATTTCGAAGTGAAAGACACATGAAACAAAACCACTATTATAACCACCCAAAAATAAAAGCCACTATATATTGTGGCTTATCTTCAATAACTTCTGTATAACTACAATATTTGGATATTTATACAATGCGATGCCAGAGAAAACAGCTTAGGCCTTGGAAGCATATGCCCCTCTTATGCATAAGAAGCACCAACGCTTTGTGGGTACCATAATCCTCTCCAAGAAAAAAAAAAGGTAGAAAAAAGTTGCCCTCTCAAGGCAAACGGAATGGGAGAACCTATCTCCCTCACCACTTTGATTACAGAATCACATGCAGCACTTGCAACTCCAAACCTAATAAAGCAATTCACGACATGTTTGGTAGAACTAGAACCACTTACCAACCAACTCCAAACCTGAATTATGAAATTCCACAGAATCTAGTGATAAAAAACCATTTTGCCAAGGCCCAAGGCTATTCCAACATTTGATCCTGGCTGAAGTTTAGAGACTCCCTCCATATGAGCTTTTTTATATCTTCTTCGTTGAGAGTCGTCTGCTCAAAATCAAAGATGAAAGGAGTTGGGCAAATGGGCTCCTCATTGATCTCATGAAGACTGGCCATATATGGATGATTCAGTGCTTCCTCGACTATGCAAGCCATAGAAAAGAAGTAAAACTTAAAAAGAAATTAAAGAACACGATAAAGAAACGGTCAAATTTGTGAAAGCCATTTAGGTCTTCCGAGATTTGGCCTAAATTGATTTTAGTCCCTACCGTTTTGAAAACAGTGGTTTTGGTCCCTGTATATCCGAAATGCGATGGCTTGTCTATAGTGAAGCCAAATGAAGTATAGAGTTGAGAATAAAATCTACCACATTTACAAATACAAGGTCTAAAATTATCGTTTCGAAAATGTATATACTAAACCAATTTTGACAGTTTATTGAGGGATAAACACATTTTACCCAAAACTTAAAGGATTATTAAACATAAAGAGACATACCAGTTATTCGCTTGGAGGGATCAAAGACCAACATTTTCTCAGCAAGATCTATTGCTAACGAGGACATATCAGGAAACTTCTCAGCAAAAGACTGTTTTTCTACATGTGGAAGCTGCTTAACATATTTCTTTGCATTATCACTTCTTAAGAACCCCAGATCCGAGTCATTTGGTGAACCTAGTAACTGTTTTGAGAAATAATTATAAGGAATTTGTTCATCAAGATTTCATCATTTCGAAGCTTGCATTAACTACCAATGTTAATTAAAATATATTTCAGAAGACAAAGATACTAGGATGCTAAACTAAAATTTTCTGCCAATTCAACTAGCAACCAGTATTGAAGAGAGGACAAATACCTCAGTTATAAGGGCCAACTGCTGGACATAATCTTTACCAGGAAATAAAGGTTCCCTTCTAATTATCTCCATCAAAATACAACCAACCGACCAAATATCAATAGCAGCAGTGTATTCTGCACAATTCAATAATAATTCAGGGGCCCTGTACCATCGAGTGACGACATATTCTGTCATAAAGTCCGTCTCTGAGGTTGTTCTGGCAAGCCCAAAGTCACATATTTTGAGATCACAGTTTGCATTGAGAAGTAAATTGCTTGGTTTTAGATCTCGGTGCAAAACATTTGCAGAGTGTATGTACTTCAATCCTCGCAAGAGTTGATATAAAAAGTACTGCAATGACATTGAAAACACTGCTTAAGCTTTATGAACTACGATGACATTGATACAAATAAAATCTATACGTCCAAAATATAATGACTACACTTAAATTTGTAAGGTAATGATTCACAACCAGTTTTAACGAAAACATCAGAATATCTTATACTGGTTACTGAATAATTATTCAAGATTCTCAGACAACAATAGATGGCACAATAAACAGATGCAACACTAAATGACCAATTCAACAGTTTTATTTTTGCAGCAGCATAAATTATGTACTAATAAACTCAAGTAGTTAGGTTTCTTTTCTTTTGTCGTAAATCCTTCATATCAAGTTAATTTAGTTTCCAACTAATCCAAGTTGTGCCAATGTACTCAATTATAAGGTAAAGGTATCCTAAAACTTGTTCTATCTCTTCGCAATACCCAGTCACACCCGAAACGACCAAACTTCTTACCACTTGGATTAAATTCTTGGTGGTAATTAGGTTACATTTACAAATGAGGAGAAACATTCTATAAAATTTTATTCTCCTTCCATGCCATCAAACACGAACAACTACTGAGCCGAATGGCCAAACTTTCACATGACATTCAATGCAGAAAAATATTGGAACAGTGAATGACTTGAACTTATCTTAACCACTATAAAATGTTTCCTCGTGTATACAGCTTTATATAATAAGTTTCAGCGTCTCCATCACATGATACCATTTTCCCACCTCAAAAACTCTAGTACGCACCACAATGCGCACTGGTAGTCATTACAACACAAACAAAACAACCATAAATCAGGGAATATGTCAACATTGTTTTGTATTAATATAGATATCCTCCGGAAGAAAAAATACTACTTGAATTGGATAAGACAACTATAAATAACAAACTCTATCTCCTAGTATTTACTACATTTATATACTTAAAACTAAAACTTGAAATACTAGTTAAACCGAAACAATCTCATGTCGTTTGATTCGTATGATCAGAGGTACAAGCATGTCCTCATCATCCACCACAGAATAGATCACGTACTATAAATATGAACTCTTATTGTCTTGTTACTATAAATATCTCCTCATACCAAAATAATGCAAACCATTACATACACCAAGCACTCAGTCACATTCTCCTCTTCTACAGAACACCCACACTAACCTCACCCGCTTCCACAAACTCAATCACTCCTCTAACACGTTTCAAGACAAACATTCCTAACAATTAGTTAGCTCCATCACTTAGCAGTACCCAAAACCGCGCAACTCCTCACCTGACAGTGCTCATCCGTGAGAGCCTGATTAGACTGTATAATCTGATGCAAATCAGTGTCCATCAACTCATACACAATATACACATCATTGAAATTCCCCCTCTCCGCTGGCCGAATTATGTCCTTAATTTTAATTATCTGCACAATAACAAAGCACACCGAACCAAATAAATCATCATTATTTCTAAAATTCACAGAAACAAAAAAATTAAAATAAATAAACGCACGTTATCATGTTCCATGTGGCAGAGAAGCTTGATTTCCCTGAGCGTCCTCTTGGCATCGATCCTGTTGTCAAACGCATTTCCAATCTTCTTAATCGCAACTCCTTCTTTGGTCTCCGAATTTGTGGCGCAGCTAGTAAATTCATCCAAAACAGTTAGATTAACTAATGAATTACTCAATTAACTGGTTAAGCAAATAAAATAGCAAAAGAGAGAGCAACGAACCAAACTATGCCGTATGCGCCGCGACCAACGGGTTGGAGAGGAGGTGCGTACTTAGCATAGACTTCGAAAAGGTTGCCTAAGACGTTGTACCGAACGTACTTGCCTCCATGAATTGGAATCCCTTTCCCTTTAGGTTTCTCAGATTCAGCTTTGTTTTCCATTTCCTTTCTTTTCTCACAGGTACACTGAAGCTAGCAAGGATATTACTATTAGGGATTCAGGTTTTCAGATTATGATGATTATTATTAGGTCCCCTTTGGCACAGTGACTGGCTTAGCTTTTGCTCTTCCGCGTTGGGACTTTTCAAATTGAATTTCAAATGTTCAAATGTAAGTGAGGGAATTAGATCAGCTGTGGACAACCAAAAAACACTAATCAGACAAATTTTCCTTGGAAGGAAAATCCAGCTTCTTTCTTACAGTTTTTTTTTTTTTTTTTCGAATCAAACAGATAAGGTCTATGTAAAAAGATCAACATGGCCCATTTAAACGCCCAAAGAGAGACCAAAATCAAACAGTGTATTAAATTAAGGCTCTTCCTTCCTGCATTAATTTTTCCATATAACTTCGTACTTAAGTTAAATATTTAAAATATTATTTTCATAATTTTATTTTTTACTTTAATTTTTTTAATTTATTTATAATTTTTATTTTTTATAAAAATAAAATCTTACATCAATTAAAAATATTAATATTATAATATATACGTAAAAATAATAAGTTAAGTTTGTAGAACTAAATTAAGTATTTTTTAATTTTTAAGATATTTTTTCTTTTAAAATGGTTTAAATAAGTTTAATAGAAGAAATAAAAAAGTTTTTTTATATAAAAAAACTACCTTATCCTAATCATTTTACCTAATGCGTTATACTTTATAGATTTTTCTTAATCGAGTTGTGTACCATCTGCAATCTCGTTTTGGGCCATAGTTTGGGCTTTTCACCCTGCTTTAAGAGTCAGCCCAAAAACTTATGGAAACTTCTTAGAGAACGCGTCATCCAATTTTCACGTTGCATCTGATTAGCGACATTGAAATAAAACACGTGCACTCTTTTATTTTCTCTCTTTATTGTGAAAGTTAATTTCTGAAATTATTTTTTAGATTTCAAAAATGATTCCCGAATAAAAAAATACTAAAAAAAAGAAATTAAACAAAAGTACCCTAAATCACATAACATGTCTTATGCATAACAATTTCTCTGTGGGAAAGGAAACAGTTGAGAAAACGTGTTAAGTTTGTCTAGTTTTGAGTTGAAAATGTGTTATGCGACAAATGTAATAAATATTAATTTTTATTATTATTTTAAAGGAGATTTAAATATAACTTTTAGTTTTTATTAATAATAGTGATAGACGCAAAGTTGAAATAGATAATGTTTTTAATATGTAAATATCATAATTAAAATCAATTTTAATTAGACGTATACGAGATATTATGTAATGATTTTATTTATGTACATTTTTTATTTATCATTATAGTTTATAAAATACTAAAATAATAAGAAATTAAAGATATAGTTAAATTTTAGAACGTTCTAAAAAATGTTTGAATTTTACATTAATAAAATCATGTAGTAATATTTTAAAGGAAGTATCTAATATGTTAGAGATTTTATAAATCGTATGAATGTTCTGCTCATAATTATTTGAGATAGATAAAATTATTGAAGAATTTTGTTCAGCAGTGTAGGTGATGAAAATGCAAGGTCAAAATCAGTGACAGACATATATATTTTTGTTAGCATTCTCTTTGACTTTTTATTTATTTATTTATAAAATTTCAAAAAATATATATACAAGTTTAATAATCTCTACTAATTTTAAAAAAATTATATCTGTAAAACATTGACGATTATGAAACCAATGAGAAAAGATTTTTTTTTTTTTTAACTCTTAATCAAGTTAATTCTCTGTCAAATATCTTCCTACTAAAAAAATTATTTCTAAAAGAATTGGTCCAAATAAAATTAAATTAGGAATATATTCCAACCCAATAACTTGGTTATTAGCAAGATTTTCAACTTACCCATTGTCAAAAAGTACTACAATAATTTTGATCAAAGAATCTATTTTCAGAGGGCTCGTCTTTTCAGTTCAAATTTATGATTTTCCTAATCCAAATTATCCCATTGATTTCTTTTTCAGTTCTAATCAAAGCTTCTTATTCGTTATTAAATGCGTCCTTTGTCACGCACATTTTTTTTATAGTCAAGAATCTAATCAATTTTTTATCATTTGAAGAAATATATTTTTCGGCACATTTTAACCGACACAAAGCATATTTCAGTAGCACAATTTGAGAAAGCCATATAGAGATATCATGTGGCACCAGAGTACTAATTTAGGAAGAAAATCATATACATTTTTTTGTCCTCAAAGATAACTCAAATATGTGTGTGCACTTTACAACAATCTTATTAAAGGTACTTCAACTATGTTATGTACCCTTGTTAAAGATTTGAAAAAAATTAATATAAAAAAGGGATTTACATCCATTTCCAAAATATACTATTATTATTAATAATGATTAGTATTAGTATTTGTTTTCGGCGGATAAATACCTTAAACAAAAACAAGTTATTCCCCTCTCCTTTTTCTACTCCATAAATAGATAAATGTGTCTAATCACAAACATGGCATATTCTGGGAAAATGTGCATCAAATAAGAACCCAGAAGTGGGTCCCACTCATTTGAGGGTGAGAAAACGGCGGTTAAAAAAAAAAAATTCCCCCAAGTGTTCTCGTCGTCACCATCACAATTGAGGCCAATTACGCACCAGTATCACACACTCATCAAAATCCAAGAAAACTTACATTAATTAATGAAATAATAAGAGAACTGAGCCAAGAGATATAAATATGAAAATTTTATACAAAGACAATAATAATCTATTAGGGTCCCTGCAAATATTTCAATACTACATCAAATAGGAAACTGCTGTATGCTTGTGTTTTTTTTTTTCTCTCTGTTGGAAAGAATTTCGACATAAAAAACAGAAAGAGGAACATTCTAAGTTAACACACCCGCAGAGACTAAACTATAACCTGATATAAGGTGTAGGGTGTCGAAGGTTCCAACCGGGTCGACTCGACCCGGTTAGGGTGACGCGGCGTCGGAGTTATAGGCACTCGGAAGGGGTGGTGTGGTGGAAGGAGAGGTGTGAGTGGTGTGAGAAGTTCCGTCGGATTCTCCGTTACCGGGTGGGCGTGGAACCAAAGAGGAGGCAAACGACGTGACGGCGCTCAGGAGAGTTTTGACGGCTCTGATTTTGATTAGCCCTCTGGGAGGAGGGAGCCTTCGTGTGGGCGCGGGTCTGCTGTCAGATCTGGTTACGGTGCGTTCCATTTGAGGCATGTTGGGTACGAGGAACCGCAGAGAAGTTGAGGAGACAAAACAAAAGAAAAGGAACTGACGATGTGTTTGTTTGAACTGATTTACCACGAAATACTATTCACGAAGATAGAAATATGACATTCACACACGTTTTGTTGAACTGATTTGCGACGAAATGCAGGCGAGGAAAAGGAGGAGATGAGAGAGAGAGTTTCTTCACTGAGGTGCGAAGAAAAGAGATGAAAGTAATGAAAAATCGCAGTTACCCTGCAATATATGATAGTGGTTAAATCCTATCCGCTATTATAACAGCACTTCTAATAGCGGTTAAGCCTTAACCGCTATCTAATATACACTTTAGATAGCGGTTACAGAGGAACCGCTATTAAATCAAATTTCGCTCGAGCGAGATATAGTCGCTCAAGCGAAACACAACCCCAGACGCAACAAGGTTCTTAAAAGAAGCTTATAATAGCGGTTAAACCTTAACCGCTATCTAATATACACTTTAGATAGCGATTATAGAGGAACCGCTATTATATCCTCCAATTATGATCGATCATTTCACGTTATGATCGATCAGAATCAAATTTCGCTCGAGCGAGATATAGTCGCTCAAGCGAAACACCACCCCAGACGCAACAATATTCTTAAAAGGAGCTTATAATAGCGGTTAAACCTTAACCGCTATCTAATATACACTTTAGATAGCGGTTACAGAGGAACCGCTATTATATCCTCCATTATGATCGATCATTTATGATCGATCATAATTAAATTTCGCTCGAGCGAGATATAGTCGCTCAAGCGAAAGACAACCCAGACCTTATAATAGCGGTTAAACCTTAACCGCTATCTAATATACACTTTAGATAGCAGTTACAGAGGAACCGCTATTATATCCTCCAATTATGATCGATCATTTCACATTATGATCGATCAGGATGGTATTTCGCTCGAGCGAGAGTATAGTCGCTCGAGCGAGAGTATAGTCGCTCGAGCGAGAGTATAGTCGCTCGAGCGAAATACAACCCGAATCTTAAAATATTTTTTTGAATATTATGTTTTTAAATTTGCTATTAGACAAAACCTTTCGAATTCAAAATGTTAAATAATTTTAAATATTAAAATTAACTTTATCAAAAATTAGGAAAATAAAATTTATCCAAAAGAGTTCAAAATGTATAAGAGTATTCTCAATTTTGATGTTTAATTATATTATCAATTCTCAAAGTAGAAAATTATATTGTAATTATTTTATCTCAAGTTAATGTGATGAGACGATCATAAACATTTCAACATTCGGAGTCAGATATATGGGACATCTTCGTCTCTCCAGGTTGTTCATGTTCTTGAGTGGAAGTGATTGAATGATCTGAACTGGAGGACTTGATCGCAAAAGATGAATAACATTATAATTATTTGTTTGAAGAGCATTAGTGTGCATAGGTTTAAAATTTTAGTAATGTTTCATTTAATTATTATTCTATTTTCACTTGTATTTTATATTTGTTTTAAATAATAATGTACAATTATATTATTAGTTTTCATAATTATTTGTTACTATCAGATCAATATTAATTATTATTTTATATTTTATAATTATTTAATTATTAGTCAAATAATTTATTTAATATGTCAACATTATTTGAATATGGATATGCAATGTACATAATTTTGTAATTGTTTATTTATATAATTTTTAATAACTATCTAAAAAAAGTTAATTTTTTAAATTTGTTTCCAATTACAAACACTTTTAATTTTGTTTTTTCTTTTAAATATATAATCAATGTTAAAATATGGATTCTTAATTACAAATTTATATTTATAATCATTTGAACCTTATTTTATACAAAGGGTAAAATAGTAATTTTCTTAAATAATCAACATAAAATTATAATTTTTATATCTCATATCAATCAAATCATTCACAATTTCTCATAAACATTCCATTCATCTCCATTTCTCTTCAAATCCCTCTTTTTCCACTCTTTCATTTCCACTCTCAATCACTCCAACCAAAGAAAGCCTGAATCTTTTGCTTGAGAGAAAGAGAGGTTGAAGTGTGTGTGTGTGGAGTGAGTGAAGCAGAGAGGGAGTTTAAAGAAACAAGCGCAGGACAGGAGTTTCAATAGCTTAGCCAAGAAGATTCATTTCCTCATGCGTTACGTACTACACAATTTTTCTTTTTTTAATTTAATTTAATTATAACTATTTTCATTTATATATATATTATACGAGTAATGGAAGCAGTAATTAGTACCAAGTACACGGAAAAATCACATCTTGATGTGACCCAATCGGCCCAATGAGAAATGACGAGGCAAGGAACACCACAGGCCCAATAATAAAGGCCTAAAAGAATAATAGACAAAGACAACATGAAGTTGATTGTAATTTTTTCATCGACACAAACAAAATTAAATGTATAACAAAACAGAATAATAACAACCATAACTAAAAACAAATAAAAATTGGATAGAGGAACCCTAATCACCATTAAATTTTGATTAGATCATTACTTATAGTTTAAACCATAATCAACCGAATCTGAGTTGGATTAGAACTTAAACACTCCCAAACGCATGGACGAGGACCAACGTCTTTAGCAACTTGATGTTGCCACTGATAATGGAAATATTGATTTTTTTGAAAAAATTAATTACTGATAAATATATTTAAATTAAGTTAAAAATAAGTGAATAGAGTGGTTTGAATTAATGTTTCCAATTCTCATATTGGACATTTTTTCTCTTATCTTAAAGACTTTTTTTCTTTTTTATCATTACAAATATCTTATATTATTTTAATTTACATAGTTTTTTCAAGAAAACTGGTTTTATAATAATTAAAATAATTTAAAATACTTTTTGATTATGATTTAAAAAAAACATTTTGTCATCATAAAATTAATAATTGAACAACATTTGATTAAAGACAAGTATTTCAGGATATTTGATTTCAAGATTTGTTTACCTAAATTTTTAGTGTGAGGTTTAACATTTCTTTTATATATTGTACATACTTAATTATATTTTATATATTTATTAATTATACTATTCTTCAATGTATCACCTTTATTTATTAATTATATGCTTGATAAATTTATAAGTGTTAATGATGGAGATTTAAATTTGAGCTCCTACGTGTATGTAGATTTTTGAGGATGGCATTCTTAATTACATTACGTATATATAATATATTTTTATAGACATTTAGTAAAGTTTATAAAATAATATATATTCAACAAAGATGTTTATATGAACAATTCGTTCACGCGGATTACAATAAATAACATCTCACATCACACATAATACACATATTTCTTTAAAAGGGTAACACCGTAAATATTCTATTATATAACATATCTAACATATTATCATCAACTATTATGTTCGATGCCCATATCTACTACCATCAACATCATCTAAGATGCATATGTTTGTTAGTCCTAAAATCAAATTGAAATTCAAGTTGACTTAGAAGATTTTATAACTATAATATTTTTAAAATTTTTGGTTAAAAATAGTATTATATTTTTATATTTAATATATTTGTGTTCTGTTAATAAAAATTATATTTGTCCCAATTTTCATATTTATTTACTGTATTTATTATATTTGAAATATTTCTTCCAATTAATTTATTCCAATAATATTATAATAACAATATATTATCAATATTAATCGGTTATGAATAATATAGTATTAATAAATAATATTAAATAGTTGTAAATTATTACTTAAAGTATTTTAATTAGATTTTTATAAATATGATTATTCTATTATTTTATAAACATGTTAATATTTATTTTATTTATTATTATAATATTATATTTTTATATTAATTTAACATATAAGAATATCTTTATAAGTGAGTTTTTCATGTCAACCACGTAGATTTTAAAATATTCATCAATAAGATAGACATGTTTGAACTTCCTAACTAATCTTTTTAATTATAATTTTTTGACAAAATTATTTGGCGTTTACCACAAGACTCGTGAAACATATCCCATGCCACGTTCACCTAATTAAGATTCAATTTAACAAACAACAATATGAATGTCAAATATATTATTAGTAACATGAAATATCATATGAAGGAAATCTATAAGAAGAATAAGGTGAATGTTTCTACAAAAGTCAAGAGAATTAAGCAAAAGCACATCAAAGAGATGGATGTCTTTAGACGACAAAATGAAGAAGTGGAAAAACAATTATGTGGTCTAATAATATCTCCTCCAAGATATTACACTTTGTCATGATATTAATCTTAATCATGGTTACCAAGTTGATGAGTCTCCGAGTCCCCCCTCAAGAGAAAAAGGCCAAAAAATGCACTCATATCACAAGTGATACCCTTTAAAGGAAATACTAACATCAAAGGCAAGTATAATCAAAGAGATGCTTAGGTCAAGCTTAGACCAAGTTAATGAGGATCGATTCTCGTAATGTTCAAGGATAATTCAACTTGAAGCTTGAAAGCTCCTTGGCTCCCAAAATTCTATTGTCAAGTGAAAAGCCCCTTCTATGAAATAGTTTAGAGGAGTAACAGACCTAAATGAGCACATTTGATCTTATCTAACACAAATTAGTATATTTAATGAGAGCAATGTTTTCTTATGCATAATTTTTTCCATGACTCTAAAAGGAGGAACATTCAACTAGTTTTTATAACAATATAAGTTAAAAGTTTGACCGAAAACTTTTGAACTAATTTATGGGTTGTACATTAAACTAACTCTATCTAATCTAAGTTGTAAATTAATCATGAGTTAAGTTTTATTCAAAATATATTTATTTGAGTTATATGTTCAAATTAGATCAGGTTAAATCTTATCTGAGTTGTATTCATACAAAAGTTGATACTTAGGTTCAAATTACACTTAGTCAAACATTAATATAGAAACACGAGTTATACTACATTGAACACGAAACACATTGCCAAACATAGCATTTTTCAAAATACAAAGATACTAAAATATTACAAAGGGCTAATCGTCTACCAATTGGCCA